AATCAAAACTTTGACGAAATTTGAGAAATTGCGAGACAACAGTGCGCGCACATGACGCGTTCTGTCCACTTACACAGGCATGACGAGTTAACTGTCCCTTTAACTGTCCTATTACAGTGTCCAATTACAAGCATGATGCGCATACTGTCCTATTATTGCTCAAATCTGGCTAGTGTTAACCAATCACGTTCGAGAATTCTGTTATAGTTTTGATTATTAAGAATATTGACGGAGTTAAAGACCTCAAGTGACTTTGGACTTTTAGATGTTTAAACTCACTTCTTTGGTCAAGTTCCCATGAAACAAACACTCGATATGAAGTCTCCCTAACAAATCAGGGATGAAAGCTTTCAGCTTCTCCAGTGTTACCTCTGACAAACAATCAACATCTGCGATCAGTAACTGTAAATGAGAGTAGATACTAAATTTTTCATTCCAACCCCCTCCCCTCCTATTTCACTTCCCTCCCTCCCTTCCCCACCAACCCCTCAGAACACCACTGTAATAGCAACTACTTACCAGCGCAACGGCGTTTTTCCGCTTGCAATATGGCCGTTTGTATATCCTAGAATTTTTCATTAATTCGTTCTATTGGCCCACTTCAATTTTTTTTTAAAATGCAATTACTATAGTTTCGTTTTGATGAACTTCAAGCAAGATGGAACTGCTCTCAATAAATTGATTCTCACTCTCTGCATGAGAGGAAATAAAAAGTACTAAAAATACCCTCTAATGCTTCTAACAGGTCATCTTTATGCCACGCTAGTTCTTCTAACAAAAATGACGTGTAGTACAAAGCATGTTGATGAGGAGGTTCAGCAACAAAGTTCTTCAGTGCAATCTCACACTATAAATTGACAAGGAGAAAAAAAAACAGCGTTAAAGAGAGCAGCAAAAGAAATCTCCACAAACAGTAGAAAGATCATTTCGTTTTCTTGCCCAAGGGCTTCAATACTACCATGAAACAAAACATCAATCCAGTCTTAAGAAATCATTTTCAAAAACATTTTCAACATTTTCAACAACATTTTCAACATTTTCAATTGTCGTAACTGCACAGTAAATGAACCTGTACATAATATTAAATGTCTTACCCTTTCTTTGATGAGTGGAAACCTCTTAGGGTCTACTTGGAAGTTTGCCATTCTTTCGAAAATCTTCTTCAATAAAACAGGCTGTTTGTGGTTATATCCTTTGATACTTAACTGTAAAGTAACAGAGTATGACATTCCCCTTAATGTGAAATCACTGTCACCACAGTACACCATATCTTAACAACAGGTACTTCTCCTGACGAGCCCTTGTCAAAGAATAACTGATACGCTTGGCTGATGTTCAACAAGGAGAATTGTTTTGTAAACAGAATAAGAAAGACGGTAAGTTTTGAGTTCCCATGAGGAATCGAACCTCAGAAAGTCGGATTCCACCCTCCAATGCTCTACCACTGAGCCACAGAGACTCTACGGTGAACAAGACCCCTTACGAAGTTCATATATGACACGCGTCCTGCATGCTGATAGGATCAGTTATGTCGATAGCGTCAAGTTTTGTAAAAAGAATAGGAGAGATGGTAAATTTTAAGCTCAGTAAAGAAATACAAAAAGATGTTTTTTTCGTCTTGTCACGAGTCAGGGACAACACTCTTAAGGATGAAGGTGATTTGAGAAAAAGATGAGCGCTGTACTTACAAAGATTCCATACATGGTGTTTTCCAGTTTGTAATGCACTCCCGCAATCTCGGCAGCGTAGGCATACTCATTTAATGAGTCCTTCAGCAGCTCTACAAACAAGTGCGCCATGTTACAGTGGCACGGATCCACATACGCCAAAGGACTATAACAGATACAGAACATCATCCGTAAATTATCAAATGAATAAAAAACTTCACTCCTAAGAGCTTTTATTATCCAACTGCACTTAGTAGAGTACAATCGAGTTCAAAATCCCGCGATATTGTGGGGTTATTTGGAAGTTGGTTATTTCTCACTGCGAAAAAGAACCTGTGTGATAAAAAACCAAATGCATATGAAAAAAAGCAATTTGATGATAAATTATTCGACATTTTGGTCAGCCAAAGCATACTTTTACATTAGGAGTAAGAAAATTGAGCTGAGGTAAAAAAAGTTTTAGACTGACAAGCTACAAACTTGACTATAAACTTGTAAAAGGGTACACAACTTCAACAAATGAATACAATTTATGCTCAGGTACAGTACCTTGTTATTTCAAACAGAAGACACGACTTGGGGAGGTGGAATGTGTCGTCTTGTTTAAACCAAACTTTCAACAAAGAATCATCCTGTTAAGATATGAAAATGTTGTGCCATAATGTGTACAGAATGAACAAGTGTCCAAAACAAATCAATTCTCTCATATGTTGAACACACCGAAAGAGGATATGAAAAGTATTACCAATTGAAGTGTGCACTGGCTAAAAACAATTTGAAACATTTACATTTTCCAGGTTTTTAAAATTTGTTTCCCCATTTAAGGAAAAACTAGGCATGTATCCACATGTATGTGTATCCAGTTACATGTATCTAGTTACCCAGTAAAAAATATACAGTACTGTACTTTACATAAATTACGCATACCTTAATGAGTATGGGAATGGATGAAGACTACAAAAAAGAAAGGTAAAGTTAGTCCAACCCTAATATTCTCTTTCAGACACATTTTGTTTCTTGTAATGTTTCCATGAATAGTGGATATGAAGATGTTAAAACTACACACAAAAACGCAAAACAACATGAAGGGAAGAGATGGATTATCACTACTTGGTCAAAGTTCTTGTTCCCTTTAAGTAATAACAAGAGGTATCTTATTGCTAGCAATTTTGGACTTAATTGGTTGAGAAGGTGGCATAAAATTTCTTGAACAATCACAGACCACAGTTGAACATGCCCAGCCTGATCCAACATCAGTTCCAATGGTCAATTGAAAATTGCTCTGACCAATGCACAACAAAATCATTTTAACATACTGTAATGTAAAGTTGGTGGATTTAAATGAGATGCAGGTACTAGAGGGATTTTTTTCTCTTATTTTCCCTCATTGCAGGAGCTTAAAAAAAGCAATTGCCTATGTCTGTTGCTGTTCATGGGAAAGTGTAAATACAGTTAAGAGAGCTTCAATTGTTTACTCTTAATAGTCTTCTTATGTGCAAACAACAGTTTCAACTCAGGGTGAATTCTATTGATGGAAAGAAACTGTCAATGGAATCAAATGAATATAAATATTTTAATTTAAAAGTAAATTAAGTTTTGATAAGGTAGAGTATGAAAAAATGAAATTATTGTTTACCATCCATGTTTCTATATCATCATCAGTTTGTTTTTTAAAAAATAAAAGCATAAATTTGACATTAACTTTCACCACAGTCAATTTAGTCCTTACATCTTGAGGCCTTTCCCTTAATGTAAAATCTGCGGGGATAAACTCATTTTCCTCAGGTAGTTGCAGAGAAGGGTTTAATAACACATTGTTCCACTCCTGAAAGAAAGAGTAAACTTTGTAAATCAGTAGTTTCTGGTAACATTATTCTCTTGACAGTTATTTAGCTCTGTCAGGTCAGGACATTCAATGGACAATGTTTGTGACTGTTACAAGGAGAGGATGTCAATTTTTTTAATTTTTCTTTTTTTGAGGG